TTGTGATGGATCGATTGGATATGGACGTAAAACGTCATTTTCATCACCCATGGTATCAGAATATCTGTCGAATTGATCTAGAATTAAAAAAATTGGTGGAGCTTTGAAACTTTGTTATTTGTGAAAAAAAGTCGAACTGCTTTCTTTTCTTTCTTCTATCAATATTAAAGAAAGAATCGTGCACGATAATTTGTTCTCTATACGAAAAGAAAAATATTCATCAGAAGAAAACTAACTGACATTAATTCTATTTATTTAATATCTCCTTTTGTTGAAATGAAAGAGAAAAAAATGCATTCTACGATAAGAATTTAAAAATAGATTGCGAATGTGTTATTCTCAATAATAGAGATATTTTTAATATATATTAAATGAAATTGTGTTAAACATCAACCTTATTCGTTTTTATTTTATCAACGTTTGAAATGAATAAGATGAATAATGACATTTTCATGACGTGATTTCCTATTGGTGAAGATCAACATCATTTTGTGTGAATAAATTTTCATCCTGTTTTATTAAAAAAAAAGATGTCGCAAAATTTCATCGTAAGGACACAAATGAAAGTTGACTTCTGCTTCTCATCATCCAAATTTTTTGATTTATTGAGACGATTTTTATTTATTTACCTCAGTATTATAACCTAATAAACTTTATTGCACATAGTTTTTCAGGACATGAAAAAACGATTCCTAAAAGCCCAAGTACATATTTTACCATTAATTCATATTCATGAAAAGGATGTGGGTGTAGGTAAGGGTCTGCAGTACCAAAAAAGAATGGGGAATGGGGGAACCGGTAAATTACCGAATGTAGAAAATATGTAAAAGATTGGTTTCTTTAATTCTTGCAATTCCTATTACTAATGTAGCAATACTTGAAGTTTATTGAGACGGCATTTTGTTCAAAACATAAAATAGAAAATAAAACAATAAGATAACTTTTTAACAATATAACATGTTCAACATATACTTGTTTAAATACAAAAAAATTAAAAAAAACTCATTTCCATCATTTTCTTTATCTTCTTTACTATCTTCATCACAAAAAATAATATTCATTTGTTTAGCTACTTTAATTTTTTTTGTTACACTTGTCACTATTAGTTTATCCTCTTAATTGCATCGAAGTTGTCGATGATGCTTGTTCAGATGTGGATGTGGGTGTGAGTAACAGTACTGGACGCTACCCATACCCACACCCTCAAGATAGTTTAGTTGCTATAAATTTTTTTGATTGACTCTTACAAATATCATCTACATTATCTAATTTCTCATCTGAAATTCCATGAAACTCTTTGAGCTGAAAAAAATCTTCTTATTTTACTCAATTTGTAGGAGGTCTCATTGTTCACTGATATAATATCTGAGCATAAACTATTGCATTCATTCAAAATTGACAAGAAATTCTTCAACGAATTTTTCATTTTCTTTTTTAATTGGTTCGATTTCTTGTTCTTGTTTTTAAAATTGAAGCTCATTATTTCTAAAATATTTTCGTAAATAATTGTAAACTGTTTAATGAAAAGAATGGTGCACAAGCATATTGATAGCACTTAACCATGAGAAAATTCGTTAAATACCAGTGATGAAAATGGTCTATACAAGAGAATAGAATTTCAAACGAGCTACTTTTACTGAATGTATGCGTTCGTAATTTTGTCTGTTAGTGACAAGAACGGAAATATTATGTGGTGGTGTCTGTTGTATGCAAAACAAAATATACATCACGTCGCTTGTATACGTGTATCGACACTAATTTGGCTTCAACACATTCATCCTTACATGCCGAATTGCTCATTCTCATATATATTATTACAGCACACATACTTTGTATTTTGCATGAGAATACTTTTCTTTTTTCGTATTCTATCACTTATCAATCGAACACCTTGAAGTTCGCACTGAACACGATTGAATAAGAAATCGGAGAAATAGGCAGTTGACCATGACTTCACTGACTGCATTTTTCTTTTGTTACTCAGAATCAACAAAATATTATTACTACTTTCCATTTTAGAGATAAATGACCATGGGTATTTTTCGAATAACTTTTCATAGCAATCAAATAGGGATCTGCAATTTTCAATGTTAGAAACACCAGATCAAAATGCATCGAACCGTATATAGAAAGATTTTTCTAACGATATGTCTAAAGATCTCATGTAAGGCTTCAAAGAAAACAGTATACCTCTGATGATTAAGATATCAATTTATTGATTTTCAGGAGTGTGATAGAACCAACAAATAAAGAGCTGCAAAAATTATGGAAAGACTCTATTTCTAACTACTATCAATAACATATTTTAGCCATTGAAGTGAAATTTACCACTCAGTTTTTCAACAAAATAGTCAAGATGTTTCAATAGAAAAATTACCTTTTCAACACAGGAGAAAAACACAGTTCTTTCAAAACGTTTACTAAAACCTGCATGAGAGTTGTTAGAAAAATCTTTCTATATATGGTTCGGTGCATTTTCATTTTCTTTTTCCCATGGTGAAAAACGCAACTCTCTATCTCATTTGTGTCAAAATTAATTCTAAAAATAACCATGGCCATTTATCTCTGAAATGGATATTAAGTGTTTGTATACTAAGTAATGTAAAGCGCAGAGATTTTTTGTTAATCAACAAATTTACGTTAATGGAAATTTTCGATCTCTCAGTATATTCTTTCTGTTTTAACATCTGTTCTAAAGTTTCATGGTGTAAGATGGAAAATTTTCATTAACATAAATCTGTTGATTAACAAAAATCTCTGCATTTTACAATTGTTAGTATACAAATCGAACCTAATCTGATTTATTTTCATATTCGTACATGAATAATATACAACTGATTATCAGATTTGACCACCATTCTCAATGATATACATATATGTATATGGGTGTGCTGGACCAAGATCAGTTATTGTTTGAGCTCTATATCTTACTAAAACTAAGATTTTTCAAATCTTTCTTAATAATAATTTTGTTAAAGTACTGTGCTTCTATAATAGTATCGGAATTCTTCTAGAAGACAGTAGAAAAAACTTATAACTTTTGAATGAACAGTCATACCTTGCTAAGTTTTTCACCATCTGATACCAGAATTTGAACAAGTCTCTATTTTCTATTAGATATCAGTAGAAGTGCGACATCTTCAACCAAAGTTTCTAAAATGATCATGTACATAAATAGACCAAAAAGGAGAATCGAAAATTTTTCTGAATAAAAGAGTCACATTTTATGATCGATTTTTGAGAATGAAATGCAGTTATCATCTTGAAATAGGGTAACTCCCGTTCATAGAAGTTTTATTTTGGCTTCTTATCATTATTCCTCATCATGTTTGATGTATGACAATCATTTACTTTTCTTGACATGAATCATTTTTTTATATCTTTCTACAGACAAATAGCTGTATTTTCTAACAGTGGTGCAATTCCTTCTTTCTTTCTTATTGTAGACATTTCGAATCTGCTGTAACTCAGTTAAAAACATTGAAAATGTTAAAAACAATAAAAATTAATAATCTGCAACCAGAAAAGACTTCGTATCGAAATGATTCACCATTGCCTTACGATAAAATCTGGTTGGATAAGATGAATAATGGTTCTGATTCAAAGTCTTCAAATAATTATAAAATTCAATACACACTCACCAATGGTCCAGCAAGTAGCTATTCACAAAATGCCGTATTACAAGCATTTTTACTTGCATATAATCGACATGAAGATATAATATTATCGCCTGATGATCTTTGGTTGTTGATCACAATACATTTTTCGAAATATGTTAATTCAAAATCTGAGCAACTTCGACATATATTTGTTGATCATCAAGACAAGAAAAAACTTGTCGTTGTAGAACCTGTGGGAAAGCGTGAAGAAGATTGGACAGATTTTTTTGGCAAGATGCAAACAGAAATATCAAAAAATGTAAAAAGTTCTGAAGTGATTGATAATTTAATAAATAATTTTTCAACAACAACTGAAATTGAACTCACTTTATCCTATGCATGCATTATGGACACGTTTAAATCGTATTTTCAATATGTTCGATGTATTCCTATGTGTGGTATAAGAAATGTTCATTTTATAGGTACTTTATCAGATTGGGAATTATTAAAACAAAAAGCAGAACAATTAATGAGTTATACAGTTAAAAATGATGAATTTTATCGATATATTGAAGATTTATTGCCAATATTAAATGAATTTATTAAAACCTATCAGGAAAAAGTTGATATTGATTTTTGGAATCGTATAATAGATTTAAAGCGTGGACGATTAGGTTCAGGTAGTACAGAATATATTACTGGTTGGATATTAAAACTCTTTTTTGGTATTCATGAAAAAAATTCAAATAAAATTGAATTTTCANATTTTCATAATCAAATGCAATTTGTGGACCTCGTTCAAAACCAGTGTGAGAAACTGATACTGATAAAAATTCATCTTCATCAATAATCATATTATTAATAACTTGAAAATTCCATTTTGCATGATATATATTTTTAAAAAAATATCCATTTTGTCCTAAATAATTTTGTCCTTGAACTCTTAATTGCCGATTATTTTGTCCCCAGCCTATTTGAAGAATGGAAATATTTTTAGTTAAACGAGCTTTTTCATCTAAAAGTATTGAAGGTTGTTCAATCCAATCCTCACTAGGAATAATTCGAACTAATGGAATAATATTATTTTGATTATATGTAGCTCTTAATGCTGGATTTGATCCAATAGAATCAAAATCAGCAAATCGGGTAAATATTTTATTGATTTCTTTTCCATATTGATTTCTTGCTCTTTGAATAAGAAAAACTGTCGATGCACTAGCTGCTAATGTTTCAGCTTTAAATTGTCCCTCTTCTGGTGTTGTTAATTCATTATCAAATTTATTTTGTAACCATGGATCAGCAAAGAATATTCTTGTTCCATCTTCATTTAAAATATAAATCGTTGTGACACCAACGTATGGATCCGGATGCTTTTTTCCTTTCATATCTGTGTAATACATTGTATCATGTCCTTTATGTGACATAACAATGCTTCGATAATTTGGAAGAGATTTTAAAATAGGATTTTTGAATAGATTGACAATAAGTGAAACTCCATCCATATTGAACCATTTTTCTGTCCATTTAACTCTTGATTCGAGAATTTTCCATTGTGGACAATCAAATGAAACTTCACAAATAACTTCATTACTTTTAGCATAATGAATTATTTGATTTTGATCAACAGCTAAGATATTATCACCATCAGCACTGACAGATATTAATGGAATTTTTGCATTATCAATAGAACCATTTTTATTAAATAATTTCCATGATGCATGTGGATGTGCAGCAATTGGTTTGAACCAAATTTTTTCATCTCTAACTACATAAAAATATTTTGAATCCATTGCATTTGTTCGTGTACTAACATAAATAGGACCAATTTCTGAAAAAGATTTTTCTTCTCCGTCTTCAACAATTGATCCTTTACTTAAAGATTTCGATAAAATCATTAATGGATATGTTATAACATCAAATAAAAAAGATGTTATTCGAGGAATAAGATCTCTTTTAGCAAAGGCTATTTTTCGAATAACTTTGTCTTGTGATGGATCGATTGGATATGGACGTAAAACGTCATTTTCATCACCCATGGTATCAGAATATCTGTCGAATTGATCTAGAATTAAAAAAATTGGTGGAGCTTTGAAACTCTGTTATTTGTGAAAAAATGTCGAACTGCTTTCTTTTCTTTCTTCTATCAATATTAAAGAAAGAATCATGCACGATAATTTGTCCTCTATACGAAAAGAAAAATATTCATCAGAAGAAAACTAACTGACATTAATTCTATTTATTTAATATCTCCTTTTGTTGAAATGAAAAAGGAAAAAACTGCATTCTACGATAAGAATTCAAAAATAGATTGTGAATGTGTTATTCTCAATGATAGAGATATTTTTAATATATATTAAATGAAATTGTGTTAAACATCAACATTATTCGTTTTTGTTTTATCAACGTTTGAAATGAATAAGATGAATAATGACATTTTCATGACGTGATTTCTTATTGGTGAAGATCAACATCATTTTGTGTGAATAAATTTCCATCATTTTTTATTAAAAAAAAGATGTCGCAAAATTTCATGGTAAGGACACAAATGAAAGTTGATTTCTGCTTCTCATCATCCAAATCTTTTGATTTATTGAGACGGTTTTTATTTATTTACCTCAGTATTATAGCCTAATAAACTTTATTGCACATAGTTTTTCAGGACATGAAAAAATGATTCCTAAAAGATCAAGTACATGTTTTACCATTAATTCATATTCATGAAAAACAAGAAAATATTGCATGTTTATCATTTTTTTGTTTTTGTGAAACACAAAATAAAAGGAATATCGAAGCTTAAGGGCGAGACTTTGGACTCTTGAGGGTGTGTGTGGGTTGGTATGTGTGAAGTGTGGGAGTGGGTACGGGGTGTGTGGCTGTGGGGCTGTGGGGTATGGGTATGGATAGGGTGTGAGTGTGGTAGGGGTCTGCGATTTCAAAAAAGAACTGGGAACCGGGGAACCAGTAAATTACCGAATGTAGAACACATTTAAAAGTTTGGTTTCTTTAATTCTTGCAATTACTTTTACTAATGTAGCAATATTTGAAGTTTATTGAGACAACATTTTGTTCAAAACATAAAATAGAAAATAAAACAAGAAGATAACTTTTTATAATATAACATGTTCAACATATACTTGTTTAAATACGAAAAACTTATAATAAAAACTCATTTGCATCATTTTCTTTACTATCTTCGTCACAAAAAATAATATTCATTTGTTTAGCTACTTTCATTTTTTTTGTTACACTTGTCACTATTAGTTTATCCTCTTGCATCAAAGTTGTCGATGATGATTGTTCAGATGTGGGTGTGGGTGTGAGTAACAGTACTGGGCGCTACCCACACCCACACCTTCAAGATAGTTTAGTTGCTATAAATTTTTTTGATTGACTCTTACAAATGTCATCTACATTATCTAATTTCTCATCTGAAATTCCATGAAACTCTTTGAGTTGAAAAAAATCTTTTTATTTTGCTCAATTTGTAGGAGCTCTCATTGTTCACTGATATCATATCTGAGCATAAACTATTGCATTCATTCAAAATTGACAAGAAATTCTTCAACGAATTTTTCATTTTCTTTTTTAATTGATTCGATTTCTAGTTCTTGTTTTTAAAATTGAGGATCATTATTTCTAAAATATTTTCTTAAATAATTGTAAACTGTTTAATGAAAAGAATGGTGCACGAGCATATTGATACCACTGAACCATGGAAAAATTCGCTAAATACCAGTGATGAAAATGGTCTATACAAGAGAATCGAATTTCAAACGAGTTACTTTTACTGAATGTATGCGTTCGTAATTTTATGTGTTAGTGACAAGAGCGGAAATATTATGTGGTGGTGTCTGTTGTATGCAAAACAAAATATACATCACGTCGCTTGCATACGTGTGTCGACACTAATTTGGCTTCAACACATTCATCCTTACATGCCGAATTGCTCATTCTCATATATATTATTACGGCACACATACTTTGTATTTTGCATGAGAATATTTTTCTTTTTTCGTATTCTATCACTTATCAATCGGACACTTTGAAGCTTGCACTGAACAAGATTGAATAAGAAATCGGAGAAATAGGCAGTTGACCATGACTTCACTGACTGCATTTTTCTTTTGTTACTCAGAATCAACAAAATATTATCACTACTGTCCATTTTAGAGATAAATGATCATGGGTATTTTTCGAATAACTTTTCATAGCAACCAGATAGGGATCTGCAATTTTCACTGTTAGAAACACCAGATGAAAATGCATCAAACCGTATATAGAAAGATTTTTCTAACGATATTTCTAAAGATCTCATGTAAGGCTTCAAGGAAAACAGTATACCTCTGATGATTACGATATCAATTTATTGATTTTCAGGAGTGTGATAGAACCACCAAATAAAGAGCTGCAAAAACTATGGAAAGGCTCTATTTCTAACTACTATCAATAACATATTTTAGCCATTGAAGTGCCATTTACAAATCAGTTTTTCAACAAAATATTCGAGATATTTCAATAGAAAAATTAGCTTTTCAACACAGGAAAAAAACACAGCCCTTTCAAAACGTTTACTAAAACCTTCAGGAGAGTTGTTAGAAAAATCTTTCTATATATGGTTCGGTGCATTTTCACTTTCTCTTTCCCATGGTGAACAACGCAACTCTCTATCTCATTTCAGTCAAGATTAATTCTAAAAATAACCATGGCCATTTATCTCTGAAATGGATATTAAGTGTTTGTATACTAAGTAATGTAAAGCGCAGAGATTTTTGGTTAATTAAAAAATTTACGTTAATGGGAATTTTTGATCTCTCAGTATATTCTTTCTGTTGTAACATCTGTTCTAAAGTTTAGTGGTGTAAGATTGAAAATAATCGTTTTAAAACAAAGATCGAAAATTTTCATTAACATAAATCTGTTAATTAACAAAAATCTCTGCATTTTACATTACTTAGTATACAAATAGAACCTAATCTGATGTATTTTCATATTCATACATGAATAATATACAACTGATTATCAGATTTGACCGCCATTCTCAATGATATACATATATGTATATGGGTGTGCTGGACCAAGATCAGTTATTGTTTGAGCTCTATATCTTACTAAAACTAAGATTTGTCAAATCTTTCTTAATAATAATTTTGTTAAAGTAGTGTGCTTCTATAATAGTATCGGAACTTTCCTAGAAGACAGCAGAAAAAACTTGTAACTTTTGAATGAACAGTCATACCTTGCTAGGTTTTTCACCATCCGATACCAGAATTTGAACAAATCACTATTTTCTATTTGATATCAGTAGAAGTGCGACATCTTCAACCAAAGTTTCTAAAATGATCATGTACATAAATAGACCAAAAAGGAGAATCGAAAATTTTTCTGAATAAAAGAGTCATATTTTATGATCGATTTTTGAGAATGAAATGCAGTTATCGTCTTGAAATAGGGTAACTCCCGTTCACAGAAGTTTTATTTTGGCTTCTTATCATTCGTCATCATGTTTGATGTATGACAATCATTCACTTTTCTTGATATGAATCATTTTTTATATCTTTCTACAGACAAATAGCTGTATTTTCTAACAGTGGTGCAATTCCTTCTTTCTTTCTCATTGTAGACATTTCGAATCTGCTGCAACTCAGTTAAAAACATTGAA